CGGGGGTGGGGATCGGGGAAGCCGCCGACAGGAGGAGGAGGAGACAAACTTGAGAAAGAAAGGGCTAAGGGGCAGGGGTCTTTCACCACTTGACCCAACGTAGAAAGGAGATGCCATTTTAGGAAGTGTGCACAGTATCACATCATATCCTTTATCTGGAAGACTTCCCTATATTAACCAATCATACTGAAAAGAATGGCAGAAAGAAAAAGAAACACAGGACAATGTATCCCCCGCCCCTTTCCCTTTGAGTTGAAGGTGGATCATGAACACAACCTTGAGATGGAAGGACATGTTGAGCTGACTCGTGCAGCAGCATCTGAGAAGAAAAATTGTTAATGTACTGATGACCTCTGTGGCAGGGATTGCCTGATTTCTGGTGTGGCCTTACTAAAAAGCCCTTGTGTTTTAATTAAAGCTGACATTTTAGAGATGAGCAGCTAGTAGTAAGAGGATAGGGGAGAGAAGCTTTTGTTTGTTTTGCTTTGCTGCACGGCATTCCTTACAAAGGTGAGCAGTAAAATCCATTTCTCTTAAGAGCTTTTCTAAGAGCAACGTGACTTCCAAGGAACAAGGACTGTGTGTTTTGTGAGTGTGGGAGGAAGAGGGTTGGGGAAACTGTAAAAAGTAGAATAAAGCTTTCTCTTTCGACACTCTTTTAACTGAATGTTTGCTTTGGTTTTTGGACAAGTAGCCTACATTTTCATTTTGCACAAGGCCCTCAAATTATGTTGCTGGACTGGACCCCAGCTCAGGCAGTGCCTCCATTCTTTGCTCCCAACACCCTGCCAGTTGCCCCCCAGGGCATAGTTAAGGGCAGGATCCTAAAAAGGAAGGCAGAGGCACCAGCACCCCTCAGGCATAATGATGTCATGGTGGCTTCTACAAGAAAAACCCCAGCAGCAGCTTTACCTCCGTCTCCATGGAAACGGGTAATGGATTAACAATGAAAAGTTGAAACATCTTTCTAGGGACCGGCTTCTAGGAGGGAAGCTCTTAAACCTATTCACTAAAATATGTTAACAGACGGTCGCTTGCCACTCTCCTGGCAGACATAAGGGGGCATAGATCCTTCCTGTGCTTCAGAGAACAAATGCAGGACCCAGTGCTAAATGAAGATGCATTCTTCTGTTTGTGTTTCCATTCAGGAGCTAAGATAAGAGAAAACCAGATCAGCCCACTGTATTTCAGTCTGCCTGCTGGAGGCTGCCGAAAGACACGTGATGTTGAGCTTTCTCATTCCTGGATTTCTGTCAGCGTGTACTTTCTTATTTGTTTTGATCTTAAGGTAAAGACCTTCAGAAGGTTTATATATTATTTGGTCTAAGCTGGACTTGGAAGATTGTTTTCTCTGTCTCTCTCTCCCTGTCTCTCCCTCCTTCTCCCCCCTCCCCTCAGATGTTCATTTGCAATGGGACAAGGTGAAGAACTAGTTCACTCCTACTAGAACTTTAGAGTGTCATCCATGATGGAGAAAGGGGCAGCCCAGGGTGAGTGAGCAGCAGAAACTACCTCTGGGTCATTCTGAGCTGGCTCTACCTCTCTGACTATGACTGAAAGCCACAGCTATTTTTGTAAGAGTAGGAGCAAGAAACTTCATCTTTCAGATGAGCCAGGCTGTAGCACAGTCCCCATCTTGTTCTTGGACAGTAGCTGAAATGTCTTTGGTTTGTCTTGGCCAGAGGCAAAAAAATGACAGAAGGGAGCTCTTCTTTCTTATATCTCTATTGCCATGAACATGCTGCCTGGATGCTGCCCATGAGGGTGTGACAAACACTCCAGGCCAGACACCAGTCCCTTCTGGTGAACAACTTTGGAACTGCATCTCTGGGTTTTCCTGATGAAGGTGGTTTGTATCTAGTCCCCAGTTTCAAATCATCTCCTAAATGAGTTTAGGCTCTTAACTCTTGAGGAGAGAATTTCCTTCTAGTTTCCTTGGAGGCCATTGAGGTTGGACTATACTTCCTGTTTCCCTGGTAACACTAGAAAGGTAAACAGTGTTTTTGCTACTCTTTAGGCCTACTGGTCTGTAGAATGGAATACTACGGGCCTTGAGTGGAGACAGGACATTCAGACGACCGATTAGAACACTACATATGTTGTGTCTTGCTTTACGAAGAGTTAATCCAGCTGAGCCTGTCAAGCATCCAGCCAGGAAGCCACTCCCCAGGAAGTCAGATTCATCTGAAGACATTCTACAAGGAAGGGAATAGTAGTTATCCCTTCATGAGATAATGTTTGTTCCTATCTTCCTCACAAGTCCTTCCTCTAGGCCAGTGGTTGTCAACCTTCCTAATGCTGTGGCCCCCAACCATGAAACTATTTTCATTGCTACTTCATAACTGTAAGTTTGCTACTGTTAGGAATTGTAATGTAAACATCTGTGTTTTCCAGTGGTCTTAGGGTCCCCCTATGAAAAGGTCTTTCAATCTTCAAAGGGGTTTGAGACCCCCCAGGTTGAGAACCTCTGCTCTAGGCAGATAGAGCCTCTTCCATACAGCCTGCCTGCTTTTACTCGTAAGCATTACTTCTTTTTTCCTCTCTCTTTTTCTTTAGGAGCTGGCCCGAACACTAAGCATGCTCTCTTGACACCTGGACTTTCTCACTTCAAAAAAATAAATGTCACCATCTCTCCCGTTCTGCCACGTGGTCACTGGGCAAGCTAACTTCACTGGGCCCCAACTTAGAAGGCATAGCTTTCTTTCCTCCATCTCCCCTCTCCTGGAGCGGCTGAGATTCACGGCTCACCCACCCCCCTTTGCTCTCCCTCAAACTCTAATAACATTGTCCTTGAGCTTCCATCCTAGTACATTTCTAAATTCTTTCATTAATGAGACTAAGAACCCAGATTTTCCTGCTAACATTGTAGGGAGTTCTGAATCATCTCCCAAAGAAATGCTCGGAAACCTCTCTCCATGAGTTTGGGGTAGCCAGCCTCTATTTTTCAAGAATGACAATTGCTCTATAGCAGAAGTCAAGGGCTGTCAAAGTCATCCCTGTTCCTGAGATCTGGACATTTTCCTCCTCCAGTCACCCTAAATTCCCATCAGGGTGTAGATATGGAAATGGAGGCAATCGGGCAGACCTTCTTGTAAAACCTGCCTTAGTCCATAGCATAAACAATATTGTGCCATCAAACAAATCAAAACAAAACATAATCTCTCCTTTAGCTTTCCAAAGGGTGACATGCCAGGGTTTTGCTGTGCATCTGAGAGTCTTCCCTGCAGGAGCACTGGTCCAAGAGTTCCTACAGGCTCACCCATGTGGCTCCCTTGACAGGAAAAGAAAAAAAAAAGCACAGTACTGGTGCATCTCTGTGGAGAGGAGATAAGTGCCCTCATTAGGAAGGCTTTGAAAATGAGGGATTGAGACATCATTTGATCTGATTTGGGTAGCACTACACTCTTTGCCTGCATGCATTAAACAAAGGTGAATAGAGTAAAAGGGCAGGGTACGGGAAGGAAATAGAAAAGTCTGTTGAAGACAAATCCTAGTGAGTTTTCTATCGAGGAAGCCAACAAATAGCCTGTTAGAAACAGGTCAGGGGAATATATATATTTATATATTCATTCTCCATCTATCTTTTGTGTCTGGCTTGCAGTCCAGAAAGCCTTAATTCTGTGGTCTATTACCATCAGAGCATGAACATGAATAACAATGATGCCGGCAGTTAATGGCTTTCAACATGACAAAGTTGTCTGAAGTGTTGTATGCTGGGAAGTCAGGCTAATTTCCTTACAGGGGTCTTTTCATTGCCCTTCAGATTTCTGCTAAAACAAAACAAAACAAAACAAAACAAAAAAACACCACCAACAACATATCTGGGAAAGATTCTAGGCTTCTTTTGCCATCCTCCCATGCCTCTTATATTCTTTGCCTAGCAAGCTGGAAGCCCTGAGTTCAGTGGCCATCACTGCATGAACCAGGCACGGTGGTGAGCACCTACAAGCCCAACACTCCAGATGTGGAGGCAGGAGAATCAAAAGTTCAAGGTCATCCTTGGTTACATGTCAAGTTTGAGGTTAGCCTGAGCTATATGAGACCCTGTCTGTAAAGAAGGTGATTACCTTTGTCCTCGGTTCTGTTACTATTTTCTGTATTGCACAGTAAAGAGGTTTGGGGACACCAAGTCAGACAGTTTCTCTGTTATTGGGGCAAGCTGTGACTCAGGTTCTTCAGCTGTAAAGCAGGGGTAATGCTAATGAGCAGCTGGAACTGTTTGTTATATTTTTAAAATAAGGTTTAAATGGTGGTAATATATGTAAAATGTAGACTGCATTTTTTAAGAGTAAATTCTAAGCTAATTATTCAAGGAAATCACTTGCACTGTTACTGTAATTTTCAGTCTCTTAAACTTTCCAATTTGTTACTTTATAGAGTAAAAGGAACTTGGCAGGTGTGATTGATCTAAGGACCTTGAGATGGGGAATTGTCCTGGATTATTTTGGGGGGTTCAGTGTAATCACACGAATCCTTGAACGTGGAAGAGCTCAGCTGGTAGTGTGCTTGCCTAGTGTTCAGGAAGTCCCGGATCTGATCTGCATAGGCATTGGCTTACACTCCTCTATCCCCAGCACTCAGGAGGCATAGACAGGAGGATCAGAAGTTCAAGGTCAACCTCGGCCACATAGTTCAAGGCCAACCCCCTACTCTACGGAACCATGTCTGGGGGAGGGTTGGGAGGAGAGAGAGAGAGGGGAAGAAGAGGAGGAGAGAGGAGACGCAGAAGAGAAAGGCAGAATGGAGACCTGTGGGGTTTTCTCCACTTCTCCACTTTCCTGCTTTTCTCTCTGTAGAGGGAGAAATGAATGCCCAAAGCCAGAAAAGACAAGAAATGGAGTCCCCACTAGAGTTCTGAGGAAGCTATGCAGCCCTGATTATACCCTATCTTTAGCCCAGTGAGACTCGTGTCAAGAATCACAGTGGTAGATAACATGTTTAGCATGAGGGAGTGAGTCTCTCTCTCTCTCTCTCTCTCTCTCTCTCTCTCTCTCTCTCTCTCTGTGTGTGTGTGTGTGTGTGTGTTTTGACTCATGAAGTTTTCAGTGATTTGTTTTGGTAATAATAGCAAATGAAGTATGAAGCATTTATCTATTCTTTTATCAGTAAAAACTCAGGAATCAGATATTGGGGCAAAAATCTGATTGATCAGGGAAGCTGAGAAGTGATCGGTGACCTCCTTTCTCTCTCCTTCCTTGATCCAAAAAGCCTGAGCATCTCCCTAAGCCCCTCCCTACATCTTCCTGTCTCTGTCTATGTGTCTTGGTTCCTCCAAAAACCTCTTTGACTAACTTGGTCAGCTAGTAGCTAGCTCTTCCTTCTGATTGAAAGCAAACTTTATTGTCAGCCTTGGGAGTGTCAGAGTACAGCGCAAGGCACCAGTAGGTTCAAGAGGGGACATCCTTAGTGATTCTGAGATTGAACTGAGATCTCCAAACTTATTTCTTTTCCCAAGGTTGAATTTTCACAAGACTAGTAAGAGGCAGACCCACCATTTGAATGCTGGTTGTTTGTCTGATAACTCAAATGTTGTCATAGATAATTTCCCATGCCCCTTCTAGCTGACGCCTCTCCCAGCAGAGATCTCCAACGAGCCTTCGTGGTCCCTCCATTTTCCTGTCCCTGGGAACATATTTTATTTGTCTGCTTGATCACACACATCTGGTGTGTGTGTGTGTGTGTGTGTGTGTGTGTGTGTGTGTGTGACCCAGTCACATTTCTCCAGGAAGGATGGGGCTAGGACTAATAAGACTAATAGAGCTTAAAATGTATGTGTCTTCAGTATACCTATCAAGACCCAAAGGGTTAGCCATGAGACAGGAATACTCAAATAACATGACATAAAGATTGGCATTTGTAGGTTTTATAGTTGGGCTGTGATTTATAGAAATTGCTGAACTGTAGACTATGGTCTATTTGAAATTTAAGTACTGCAGCATTGCAGCTCATTGGTAGTTATCTTATTTGAAGATATTCATCCTTGGATTTTGGTGGCATTTTGCTGCCACATGCAGACTATTGACTACTAAAATAGCATTCAACTCAAATGATAATTTTAAAAAAATGGAAATAGATGGCATTTCATTTCACTGCATTGTAAAAATCAAATGGGAGCTATAGAAATGGTTAAGAACATGCACTGTCCTTGCAGAACTCGGTTCCAAGAATTCATACAATGGTTCAGAACCACCTGTGCTGATATTTTGCTTATGATCCAATAAAGCTTTCGTGAAGGTCAGAGTCCAAAGCTAGCCACATCCATAGAGGCCAGGCAATGGTGGAACACACCTTTGATCCCAGCACTTGGGAGACAGAGGCAGACAGATCTTTGTTAGTTCAAGGCCACCCTGGGCTACACAAGATTAAATCTGTCTAAAAGAGAAACAGAGCTCACAAAAAGGTGATCCCAGAACTTGGGATCCTACACCTTTAATCCCAGCACTAGGGAGGTGGAGATAGGAGTGATATGGCTGGGTGGAAAGGAATATAAGGTGGGAGAAGGCAAGAGAGAGAGGCAATCTGAGGCAGTCTGAGGTTTGGTGGAGACAGATGCAGTCTAGGTAGAAAGCAGTCTGAGGACAGGATCACCCTTTGATCTGAGTGTTGTAGAGGTGAGAACTCTCAAGTGGTTGACCACTTTGCTTCCCTGATCTTCAGCTTTAACCCCAATATCTGTCTCTGGGATTTTATTATTCATGTTACAACCACCTGTAACCCCATTTTAGGGGATCCATTGTCCTTCTCTGACCTCTGAGGATGCATGTGTGAACATGGTGCACATATACTCAGGCATACACATAAAGTAAAATAAATATTAAAAATAAAACCAACCCCTTGATATACATCAATCAGGCTTTTAATGCGGAAAGTAAACACTCCTCTGTTTTCCAAACTTTTCTTTCTCTTGTTATAAAATATATATGTATGTCATCAAAATATTCATGTTAACAACTGTTAAAATTTTGATGCCTTTATTTCCCCTTCCTTACCATTTGTTCTGCCTAGATCTTCAAGTACTATATGAAATATAGGTGACAAATTGTGTACCATTGGCCTTTCCTGATCACGAGGGAGAGGGTTTTGATCTACAGCTTCTCAAACAGGGAGAGTCCGTTTCTTTAAGGGTGTCCCCTTGGTCACCTCGCCATGTTCCTCCAGAAGGCCACACATCTGAGAGGTTAGGGCAGCACCAGCTGTACTTGATGGATTTACAAAAGGAAGAAAATACGCAGTTGGGTGGGTAGGGAAGGGAGGTCAGATCTGGGAAAAGTGGAAGGAGATAGAAAGTATGATAAAAATACACTGTACAAAATTCTCCAGGAACTAATAAAAATGAGGCAAAAAAAGATTTCAATATCTCAGCATTGAATGTGATGCTATCTGTGAGTTTTTTAGTGTATAACTTTTGTTGTGTTGGGGGAGTTCACTTCTATTGGAGGTCATTAAGTGAGACATTACTTTTATCTTGAAGGGGTATCGAATTTTGTCAATTTTTTTCTGCATTGAGATGATTATATGTTCTCCCCCCTCTTTTTGCTTCAATGTTCATTGGGGATATCGATCTGTAATTTTCTTTGCTTGCAGTGAAAAACTCTGGGTTTGATATCAGAATAATGCTAGCCTAAGAATTTCTAAGTTGGAAACTGTTGTGACTCTTCAGTCATTGTCCCTCTTGGGGAGATTCTGAGGAGTGGTTTTAATTCTTTAAATGATTGGCAGGAGTCAAAAAGTGAAGCCATTGGATTCAGAGATTTTTCTTTGTTGGGAAGCTTATAATTACTGACTTAATTTTTCTGTTACTTATAGATTTGATCACATTTTCTATTTCTTGATGATTCAATTCTGGTAAACTATGTACTTCTAATCATATGTTCATTTCATCTATGTCACTTAATTTGTTGGTGCACAGTAGTCATTCCCAGTACTCTCTCTCTCTGGTTCTTTTTATTTCTGTGAGGTTGGTAGTAATGCCTCACTTCCACTCCTGACTTTGGTAGTCTTAGGTTTGTTACTGTAGAAAGTGCTGGAGATGGAACAGAGCACACTCACATATTCTTGGCCCTGAGCTCAGCTGGGCTCACAGCTCAAAGGAGTTTCTTTTACTAGTCAATCAAACTAAAGGCTCAAATAACTTTAAAAATCTTTCCAAAGAAACATCTGATTAACTTTTTTCTACTTTTTACTTAATTTATCTTTATTATTTCTCTCTTTGGTCTTTTACAAAATTCACTCTTTCTTAGTCACTCTATAAAGTTAGATTATTGACATGAGATCTCTTTTCTACTTTAATGTAAACATTTATAGTCATAATTTGCCTCTCAATATTGCTGTCATTAATTTCAATAGCCATTCCCCAATCTTTCACCCTGTCCTCTACCATGCATGGTCATACACAAGCCCTCTAGATTCATACATTTTCATTTCTTGAATGAACTCTCTTCTCTGTGTTCTTATCATTGTCTTTGGGTTGGAATTAAAATAAGGCTTCCTACTGTGCTGTCCCAATAGATACTTCAACTCTAGTTCATTTTTCACATTCCATAATTGGTCTTGAATAACAACATGATATTCTCCTTATAACCATATGTGCATGCTGTTGATTGCTTTCTCCCAACCTTCAGTGAAGTCTAAACTTAGGCCATCGCTTAGGATTGTCCAACCTATGTCCCATAGCTCACATGTGACCTAGGAGAGGTATGAAGTTGACCCAGCACTAATTATAAACTTGGAATATTATGAAATATTTTTGTGATTTTTTTTGAAAATGCAATTGTATAGTTCCCAAGTGTGAACTCTGTAGATGGCAATATTTTGTTCCAATGTTGACAGGTTGGACATACCTGAAGGGTCTTTCACATGTGGCCTCTAACCTCACCAATCTGGCCTCTCTCAGGTTAGGCTTATTTAACCACGTGTGTTCCCACAAAAGTCTGCATGCATCATTTGTAACCATTTGCTTGGAAAGATAATTCTTTTCCTCTTCATTGAATGAGTTGTATTCACTACTCAATACTGACTCAAGACACATTTCATTTGGAATTCCTACAACATTTTCTCTCTGCTCTAGGTTAAATACTAGTCATGCACATTGTACCTTGTATATGCATTCATCATGACACTGAGCACATCTTAATCTATAATATTTTGTTTATATAAGAATCTTCCCACTATATAAAAGGGAAAGGAACCTCTGGTTTTTATGTTCTTAATGCCTAGAAGAATTAGGCATTATGTTAAGGGCCATGGGCCCTAAACTATGGGTTTAAAGCCCATCTTTGTAAGTCCTTTATGACCTTTAAGTTTTCGGCTTCAAGCCAGCTCTGTGAGCCTCCTATAACCTGTAATTAGATGGTTTGGCCAAAAGGAACTGCTAACTGCTTCTGTTCCAAGAAAGGGCCTGGGGCTTTCGCTGTTCCGGGGAAGACCACAAGATGTTCCGGCTAATAAGAAGAATGCTCCTGCCCCAGAATACACCAGATGTTCCTTCCTGTTATTACCCCGCTTACCCAATTTCCTTGGTGCAGGGCTATATAAACCCACACTGAACCCCAATAAATCCAGATCTTGACAATTGCACAGATGGACTCTGGTCCCCTCTTTTTTGCCACTTGGTCTCCTTCCTTCTCTCGCCCATGACTCTTTCAGGCAGCCCCCCTCTGGAACCCTGAATGACTGACCCGAGGGACGGGACAAGTGGAGCCGGAACAGGGGACCCGGAGTACAGTCAGCTGTCGGATGGCGGAAAGACAGCCCGGGACAAAGAGGATCCTGCAGTCGGCTAGACTCGATCCCTCTCCAGGTGGAGGTAAGGTACCAATCATTGCCGTCCCAATGCCATGGGCCATGTTATGGGTAAAGAATTGAAATTCATAACAGAAGTTAAGGTAGCCCGCAGGGAGAAAGGAGTAAGAGTTAAAAAGAAAGATAAAAAGGAGTAAGAGTTAAAAAGGAGAAGATAAAAAGAAATAAGAGTCAAAAAGAAAGATTTAGTTCATTTTTTCTGCTTTATTGATAAAGCTTGTCTATGGTTGATTTTAACGGGACCAGACATAGCTCCCCAGACCTGGGAAAAGGTTGGGAGAGTTACTTCGCCCACAGCGAGAAATGCTGCTGGCAGCATTTCTTAGAGGCAGCCAAGCTTGGGGGCTGCAACTTACAGCCTTGGGAGATGCCGCCATGGTTGATGGCTAATTAATATATATAAATGCTATTGAAACAGCCAGACTGTTTTTGAGACTTATAGAAAAGAAAAGGCAACATATTTAAGCTTAGAATTGTTCAGATTTTGGATGCTCATATTTCAATGATTGACTATAAGCTACTATGTTAGAAATTTCAATTAGGGATTTTTCTTTTCTACAAACTGATCATAACCTAGGCAAAAGGAGAAATGTGAGACATATGCAAGTTATGAATGAAAGGTGTGGCCACACCTGGATGCATGATGTGATTGTGAATTTATGAATGCAGATGAATGAGAATGCCTAAATTACCTTGGATATGATTAGAGATATTTACATTGCCTCAGATATTGTTTAAAAAATATCAAAATCACTTTAACATTGCCAAAAAGAGCATCCAGTCAATCAGTCAATGTCTTAACAGGAGAAATTATGATTTGAGTCCTAGGAGACAGTCAATTAAAAAGTTAGCAAAAGCCTATACCATTAGCTTAGAGACATGAGAAATCTATGGATGATTCTGTAAAATTTGACAGATGAGAGGATACAGATATCCCTAGATTTTTATGGTTAAAAAAGGACATCTAGAAAATAAGGGTTGATGCATGATTTTGAGAAGGGTTTTGTGAGAAGCCTCAAAAAAGAGCCAACCTGTTAGATTCACAGGTTGGCAGGTCAGCTAACATGCAAATGAGGTCTTATCAGCTTGTCAGCCTCAAAGATTAGATTAGAAAAGGCTACTCAAAAACTCTAAATAAATCTAGAGAACTGTTAAAGACATATGTTATATTCTAAAGAAATTGGGGCTTAATAGATAACAATTAG